TCACAAGAAATGGTAATTAAGTGGGTAAATACATATTATTTTCTTCCTCATCATTTGATCCCTTAAAAAATGAAAGTTAAGAAAAATTCATTACAATTATGTGGGGTTTAACAATGTAGAAGTAGAATATGTAAACAGATAATGCAAAGGGCAGAAAAGGATAGCAAATCCAAGAGTGCTATAACACAAATCACCAAAAATAGTTAATTAAAAATAAGCCAAGAAAAGAAGAAAAAGAGACAATGGACAGATGGGACAAATAGGAATATATTTCAACACAATCATATCAATAATTACATTTAGGCCGGGCGTGGTAGCTCACGCCTGTAATCCTAGCACTCTGGGAGGCAAGGCGGGCGGATTGCTCAAGGTCAGGAGTTTGAAAACAGCCTGAGCAAGAGCGAACCCCGTCTCTACTATAAATAGAAAGAAATTATTGGCCAACTAATATATATAGAAAAAATTGCCGGCATGGTGGCGCATGCCTGTAGTCCCACACTTGGGAGGCTGAGCGCAGAGGGTTGCTTGAGCCCAGGAGTGTGAGGTTGCTGTGAGCTAGGCTGATGCCATGGCACTCACTGTAGCCTGGGCAACAAAGTGAGACTCTATCTCAAAAATAATAAAAATAATAATAATTACATTTAATGTAAATGGACTAACACTCTAATGAAAGACAACAACTCTCAGACTGAACTGAAAGCAATACGAACTATGTGCTGCCAGCAAGAAACCCACTGTTGACTGTGGCCCAGTGCTCACTCCTAGAATCCAGCACTTCAGGAGGCCAAAGTAGAACTGCTTAAAGCTAGGAATTCCAAGACCAGCCTGGGAAACATATTGATACTCTGTCTCTACAAAACATAAAATTAGCCAGGTGTGGTGCACACCTGTAGTTCTACTTACTTGAAGGCTGAGAGCAGGAGGATCACTGGACCTAGGAGTTGAAGGTTAAAGTGAGCTATGATGATGCCACTGCACTCCAACCTAGGTGATAGAGTAAAGTTCTACCTCTAAAAAAAAGTGAAGAAAGAAGAAGACCCATTGCCCATTGTAAATATAAACATATAGAATAAAAACAAAAGTAAACAAAATGCATAAACATGCAAATAAGAATCATAAAAAATTGGAAAGTTTATACTGATATCTGACAAAGTGGTTTCAGAAACAGAATATTTCATATTATGAATAATAAAGGATAAGGAGAGCATTTCATAATCTAGAAGGGTGAATTTATTGAGAAAGACATAATATTCTAAATATGCTTACAACCAAAGAGCTACAAAATACATGAAGCATAAAAGGAGAAACTTATAGATCCACATTATACTTAAAATGTCAATACTCTTAGTCAATAATTAAAAAAGCAAGTACGCAGAAAGCATTAAGGATGTAGACAATTTGAGCAATCAATTTGACCTAGCTGACATTTATAGAACTTTCCACCCAATAACAGCAGAATATACATTCTTTTCTTTTCTTTTTTTTTTTTTTTTGAGACAGAGTCCGCGTTTGTTGCCCAAGCTAGAGTGAATGCTGTGTGTCAGCCTAGCTCACAGCAACCTCACACTCCTGGGCTCAAGCAATCCTGCTGCCTCAGCCTCCCGAGTAGCTGGGACTACAGGCATGCGCCACCATGCCCGGCTAATTATATATATTAGTTGGCCAATAATTTCTATTTATAGTAGAGAACGGTCTCGCTCTGCTCAGGCTCGGTTTCGAACTCCTGACCTCGAGCAATCCACCTGCCTCGGCCTCCCAGAGTGCTAGATTACAGGCGTGAGCCACCGCGCCAGCCAATATACATTCTTTTCAAGTGCATTTGGATCAACCACCAAAATAGACTATATCATGGGCTATAAACAAGTCTCTCATTTTTTTTTAGAGACTGGGTCTTGCTCTGTCAGCTATGTTAAAGTGCAGTGGCACAATCACAGCTCACTGTAACCTCAAACTCCTGGGCTCAAGGGATCCTCCTGTCTCAGCTCCCAGATAGCTGGAATACAGGCATGTGCCACGCACCCAGCTTTATAGCATGCGGACTCACTATTTGCCTGGCTGTCTTGAACACCTAACCTCAAGCTATCCTCCAAAGTGCTGAGATTGCAGTGTGAGCCACTGCACCTGCCCAAAACAAAATCTCAATAAATTTAAAAGTATTGAGATCAAACAAAGTATGTTATCTGACCAAAATAGAATAATTAGAAACCAATAACAGAAAAATATCTGGAAAATACCAAATATTGAAATTAAATAATCCACTTCTAAATAACCTAGGAGTCAAGAAGAAACCACCAGGGACACTACAAAATAGTTTAAACTAAATGAAATGAACATCAGGGCCGCGGTGTGGTGGCCATGTCCTGTAATCCTAGCACTCTGGGAGGCCGAGGCAGAGGAGGTCACTCACTCAGTGAGGGTGTTGAAACCGTCCTCTAGGGAAGAGCGAGACCCTGTCTCTTACTAGAAAGATGCATAGAAAGAAATTAATTCGGCCAACATTACTGGAATTCAGCAGCTATTGAGAAAAAGATAGCCGAACTGGTCCCTCTGGCCGAGGGGGTGGGGTGCGCCCAGCATCCGATCGGCTTAGGGCAGGAAGACGCGTTGACCAGGAGTTTGAGGTGCTGTGAGCTAAGCTGATGGCACAGCACTCTAGCCCAGGCAACAGAGTGAGACTCTATTCAAAAAAAAAAAAAAAAGAACATCAGTATATTACAATTTATGGACTACCAACTAAATAGTGCTTAAACGGCAATTTGAATATTTAGGGTAATATAATTTGGTGGAGTTTTTTCCTTTCTTTCTTTAATGCTTTCTTGATCCAGTTTTGAGGCCTGGCTAGAGGCCAGTGAGGCCCCCTTCTTGTGTGATGAATTAAGGCCACACCCCAACCACCTTCCTTATGGAGCTCTCACACCCCAGGCCACTATATGTCCACCGTAGTCACCCTGGAACCAGTACAGACAGCCAGGGACAGTCCCCGCCTCTGAGAGGGCAAATTTTCAAATTAGCCAAATCACAAGCTGCTCCTACAGCTCCAGCTTGCTATTACCGCTGTCCCCTGGATGCAATTCTCTGTGTGGTCCTACCTGGAAGACTTCTCTCCTCTTGGAGCTTTAAGTAACAAAGAGTTCTGCCTTCGTCTATTCAAGTGTCCTTGTGTCCAGTCCCCCATCAGAAGAATCGTTAGACATTACAAGACAACTGGCGCAGCAAGCAGGGTGGCGTGGGCATGACTGTTCGCGCTCCTAGCTCCTGGAAAGACTTCTCTTGGCTTCTCCTTGGTTCCAAACCACAGAGTGGGTGGGCTTCAGCCTTGCTGCTGTCTGCTAAGTCAGCCAGTGGTGCCCTGTTCTGCTTACCCAGAATTTTCTGGCATTGGAATGTTCACGTAAAACGGTATTAACTGACTAAGACTCCTGGCTACGTGGGGCCGACCTTAGGGCGGTGGGAGTGGACAGGTCACTGGCACTGTGCCCCAGGGTCCAGCATTGCCGTGTTTCCTGTCACCACCCACATTTAGCAGAGGCTATGCCAGAGGCCCCTCACTTCATTAGCGTCGTGTTTCTTCTTATCATTTAGCCAGAACCCTGGTCTGTCCATGCATTTTGGTGACCCTGCCGGGGACGCTGTTGTGGGCTCCCTCGTGGTTGGAGAAATGGCACCCAGGTTTCATCCACATTGCTGGGCCGGGGAATGGGCTCACCTGCCTTCTTTGCTCATGACACTAGCTGCTATTGACGGTGAACTTCGTGCTTCCCAGACTCGTGGGTGTCCCTGGTTGCACCCTTGGAGACCAATGGCTCAATCCAAAGGGAACCTGTGGGCTAGGGGCCAAATATTCTCATCCTCGCACTTCACCCCACCCCCACCCCTAGAATACCTGCTTTTGTCACCCGATGCTTAAGTAGCAGCGTGCCTAGCCTTAGTGAGTACTCGCAGTACACTGACAATCAGTGTGGACTGCAGGACAAGGGCTCACTGCATTATTCCAAGGGGAGCCCTAAGGAGTTTCCTCAAGATGAAGGAAAATAATACCAGGCTGAAATTTGGATCTATGGAGAGGAATAAAAATCACAAGAAATGGTAATTAAGTGGGTAAATACATATTATTTTTCTTCCTCATCATTTGATCCCCTTAAAAAATGAAAGTTAAGGAAAAAATTATTACAATTATTGTGGGGTTTATAACAAATGTAGAAGTAGAATGTGTAACAAGAATAATGCAAAGGGCAGAAAAGGATAGCAAATCCAAGAGTGGCTATAACACAAAATCACCAAAAATAGTTAATTAAAAATAAGCCAAGAAAAGAAAGAAAAAGAGACAATGGACAGATGGGACAAATAGGAATATATTTCAACACAATCATATCAATAATTACATTTAGGCCGGGCGTGGTAGCTCACGCCTGTAATCCTAGCACTCTGGGAGGCCAAGGCGGGCGGATTGCTCAAGGTCAGGAGTTTGAAACCAGCCTGAGCAAGAGCGAAACCCCGTCTCTACTATAAATAGAAAGAAATTAATTGGCCAACTAATATATATAGAAAAAATTAGCCGGGCATGGTGGCGCATGCCTGTAGTCCCAGCTACTTGGGAGGCTGAGGCAAGAGGATTGCTTGAGCCCAGGAGTGTGAGGTTGCTGTGAGCTAGGCTGACGCCATGGCACTCACTGTAGCCTGGGCAACAAAGTGAGACTCTATCTCAAAAAATAATAAAAATAATAATAATTACATTTAATGTAAATGGACTAAACACTCTAATTAAAAGACAACAACTCTCAGACTGAACTGAAAGCAATAACGAACTATGTGCTGCCAGCAAGAAACCCACTGTTGACTGGGCCCAGTGGCTCACTCCTAGAATCCCAGCACTTCAGGAGGCCAAAGTAGAACTGCTTAAAGCTAGGAATTCCAAGACCAGCCTGGGAAACATATTGATACTCTGTCTCTACAAAACATAAAATTAGCCAGGTGTGGTGCACACCTGTAGTTCTACTTACTTGGAAGGCTGAAGCAGGAGGATCACTGGAGCCTAGGAGTTGAAGGTTAAAGTGAGCTATGATGATGCCACTGCACTCCAACCTAGGTGATAGAGTAAAGTTCTACCTCTAAAAAAAAGTGAAGAAAGAAAGAAACCCATTGCCCATTGTAAATATAAACATATAGAATAAAAACAAAAGTAAACAAAAATGCATAAACATGCAAATAAGAATCATAAAAAAATTGGAAAGTTTATACTGATATCTGACAAAGTGGGTTTCAGAAACAGAAATATTTCATAATTATGAATAATAAAGGGGATAAGGAGAGGCATTTCATAATTATAGAAGGGTGAATTTATTGAGAAGACATAATATTTCTAAATATGCTTACAACCAAAGAGCTACAAAATACATGAAGCAAAAAAGGAGAAACTTATAGATCCACAGTTATACTTAGAAATGTCAATACTCTTTAGTCAATAATTAATAAAACAAGTACGCAGAAAGTCATTAAGGATGTAGACAATTTGAGCAATCAATTTGACCTAGCTGACATTTATAGAACTTTCCACCAATAACAGCAGAATATACATTATTTTCTTTTTTTTTTTTTTTTTTTGAGACAGAGTCTCGCTTTGTTGCCCAAGCTAGAGTGAATGCTGTGGTGTCAGCCTAGCTCACAGCAACCTCACACTCCTGGGCTCAAGCAATCCTGCTGCCTCAGCCTCCCGAGTAGCTGGGACTACAGGCATGCGCCACCATGCCCGGCTAATTATATATATTATCATAATTTCTATTTATAGTAGAGACAGGGTCTCGCTCTTGCTCAGGCTGGTTTCGAACTCCTGACCTCAAGCAATCCACCTGCCTTGGCCTCCCAGAGTGCTAGGATTACAGGCGTGAGCCACCGCGCCAGCCAATATACATTCTTTTCAAGTGCATTTGGATCAACCACCAAAATAGACTATATCATGGGCTATAAAACAAGTCTCTCATTTTTTTTTTTAGAGACTGGGTCTTGCTCTGTCAGCTATGTTAAAGTGCAGTGGCACAATCACAGCTCACTGTAACCTCAAACTCCTGGGCTCAAGGGATCCTCCTGTCTCAGCCTCCAGAGTAGCTGGGAATACAGGCATGTGCCACTGCACCCAGCTTTATAGACATGGGGACTCACTATTTTGCCTGGGCTGGTCTTGAACACCTAACCTCAAGCTATCCTCCCAAAGTGCTGAGATTGCAGGTGTGAGCCACTGCACCTGGCCCAAAACAAATCTCAATAAATTTAAAAGTATTGAGATCAAACAAAGTATGTTATCTGACCAAAATAGAATTAAATTAGAAACCAATAACAGAAAAATATCTGGAAAATACCCAAATATTTGGAAATTAAATAATCCACTTCTAAATAACCTAGGAGTCAAAGAAGAAACCACCAGGGACACTACAAAATAGTTTAAACTAAATGAAAATGAACATCAGGGCCGGGTGTGGTGGCTCATGCCTGTAATCCTAGCACTCTGGGAGGCCGAGGCAGGAGGATCACTCAAGGTCAGGAGTTTGAAACCGTCCTTAGGAAGAGCGAGACCCTGTCTCTACTAAAAATAGAAAGAAATTAATTGGCCAACTAAAAATATATAGAAAAAATTAGCCGGAAATGGTGGCGCATGCCTGAGGTCCCAGCTATTCAGGAGGCTGAGGCAGAAGGATCACTTGAGCCCAGGAGTTTGAGGTTGCTGTGAGCTAAGCTGATGGCACAGCACTCTAGCCCAGGCAACAGAGTGAGACTCTATTTCCAAAAAAAAAAAATGAACATCAGTATATTACAATTTATGGACTACAACTAAAGTAGTGCTTAAACGGCAATTTGAATATTAGGGTAATATAATTTGGTGGAGTTTTTTCCCTTTCTTTCTTTAATGCTTTCTTGATCCAGTTTTGAGGCCCTGGCTAGAGGCCAGTGAGGCCCCCTTCTTGTGTGATGAATTAAGGCCACACCCCAACCACCTTCCTTATGGAGCTCTCACACCCCAGGCCACTATATGTCCACCGTAGTCACCCTGGAACCAGGTACAGACAGCCAGGGACAGTCCCCGGCCTCTGAGAGGGCAAAATTTTCAAATTAGCCAAATCACAAGCTGCTCCTACAGCTCCAGCTTGCTATTACCCTGTCCCTGGATGCAGTTCTCTGTGTGGTCCTACCTGGAAGACTTCTCTCCTCTGGAGCTTTAAGTTAAGTAACAAAGAGTTCTGCCTTTCGTCTATTCAAGTGTCCTTGTGTCCAGTCCCGCCATCAGAAGAATCGTTAGACATTACAAGACAACTGGCGCAGCAAGCAGGGTGGCGTGGGCATGACTGTCCGCTGCTCCTAGCTCCGTGGAAAGACTTCTCTTGGCTTTCCTCCTTGGTTCCAAACCACAGAGTGGGGTGGGCTTCAGCCTTGCTGCTTGCTGCTAAGTCAGCCAGTGGTGGCCACTGTTCTGCTTACCCAGATTTTCTTGGCATTGGAATGTTCACGAAGAACGGTATTAACTGACTAAACTCCTGGCTAGGTGGGGGCCGACCTTAGGGCGGTGGGAGTGACAGGTCACTGGCACTGTGCTCCAGGGTCCAGCATTGCCGTGTTTCCTGTCACCACCCACATTTAGCAGAGGCTATGCCAGAGGCCCTCACTTCATTAGCGTCGTGTTTCTTTCTTATCATTTAGGCCAGAACCCTGGTCTGTCCGTGCATTTTGGGTGACCCTGCGGGGGACGCTGTTGTGGGCTCCCTCGTGGTGGAGAAATGGCACCCAGGTTTCATCCACATTGCTCGGGCCGGGGAAAGGGCTCAACCTGCCTTCTTTGCTCATGCACACTTGGCTGCTATTGACGGTGAACTTCGTGCTTCCCAGACTCTGTGGGGTGTCCTGGTTGCACCCTTGGAGACCAATGGCTCAATCCAAAGGGAACCACTGGGGCTAGGGGCCAAATATCTCATCCCTGCACTTCACCCCACCCCCACCCCTAGAATACCTGCTTTTGTCACCCGATTGCTTAAGTAGCAGCGTGCCTAGGCCTTAGTGAGTACTGCAGTACACTGACAATCAGTGTGGTCAGAACAAGGCGGCTCACTGCATTCATTCCAAGGGGCAGGCTCTACAGTGCTTAAGTGACGCCGACTCTGAGAGATGGCACCGGGAAGCTGGAAACGCTTTGGAAGGAAAATCAGCTGCGACGAGACAGCCAACCTTTTATACCGCCAGGTTTGCACTATAGATTATCAGACAGCCACGAAGTGGAATGCTTCTGAAAGAAAGGAGATCTCTAGCAAGAGCGTTTCCGCCACAGCTCTGGTGCTGGGGGGCGATCACTGCGTGCGCCACTCCTGTCTGCTTGCAACAAAAAACTACACAATTTCTCCGGGCTGTAGGCGGACAGATACCCACGTACCCCGATGGCCAGCAAAGGCTTGACTTCACCAACTTTAGGCGAGGCTCCTCTGCACGCATAACTGCCATAGGGGAAAGTGTACCCTACAAGCCTGAGGGTACTGATCAGAGGCTCTCCTAGAGGGAAAAAAAGCATAAACGATACAGGCAAAGAGACCCCTGCCCCAAAGTTACAATCCAGAGAAGGCAGGAAGCGGAAGGAAGGAGGAGGAAGGAAGCGCAGAGGAGGAGAGAAGGAAGAGGGAGGGGCGAGGCGAAGGGACGGGAGGGAGGCGAGGGGAGAAGGAAGCGAAGGAAGCGAAGAAGGAAATTGGATGGGGGATGCGATGAATAATTATCTAAGATTGATAAATACAACAAGTTATAATAAATTACTATAAAAATTTAGTATATTACGTATAAATATTTAATTATATACAATTTAATACATTTATATACATTTAATAATTTATTTATTCATTCATCCCCCAAAAGGCCTCATAACTTGGCCTAATAAAAAACTCAAAGATTTGCTAAAAAACAACTTTATACATTTTGTATCAACACAACAAGATACGAGTCTCAAGTGCGTGTGTGCCCTGTAGTCCCAGCTACTCGGAAGGCTAAGGGCAGGAGGTCCTTGAGCCCAGGAGTTTGCAGGCCTGTAGCGGTGCTCGTCATCGATGTCCACACTACAGTTGGGCATCCACATGGTCACCTCCCAGGACCGGAGGACCACAGAGTTGCCTAATGGACGCGGCGTCAAGGAGCGCGTAAGGTCAGGAACACAGGGCAGCAGTTGACAACTCCTGTGCTGACTGCTCGCTCAGTGCGGGATCATGCTGTGGAGTAGCTCGCTCACGTCCAGCCTGCAGAGTGAGACTCCAACTCTAAAAAACATTAAAAACATTAAAAAAAAAAAAAAAAGGAAAAAGGGCAGTTGGGATCTGGCCTTCGTTGTGCTCTGGAACATAAGTTCTGAATTAACATTTACTAAAATACACCAGTTGGCATAGTTTCATGGACTTAATCAATACTGGGGCTCAAATTAATAGTGTCCTTAACTGTGGATCTCACATAAATTCTGAATAGGTACCCAATAATGCTTAGGCGAGCGTAAATAAATATAAAATAAAGAAAAATAGATATGCCTCACTTTAACTACAGCTTTGCTTAAGTTTCCTATAGTTCTACCATAAAAAAAAATAGGCCAATTTTAAGGGGATACGCGATGTCTCACCCACTGATTTTGATCTTGTAACAAAAATGAAATGATTGTATTAAATTATCACGTGTATCCTGAAAATATGTGCGCATCTATTATGTGCAATAATAAAGATAAAATTAATTTTAAAAATTTTCCAAAGTCAAGAGTACCCATTCCCCTATAATATCCCATAAGTGAGGCAATAGCCATTCTCTGGATGCAGATCGAATCATACATTAAAATTAGATTAAGTCTTTGGTACTTACAAATTGGCTTGACAAAATGGGATACTCGGACCCCCTTGGTAATGAAATTAATACAGTCCAATGTAAGTTAAAATGGGGCCTTCAAGGAAGAAAACTATCACTAAGACCCGTACATTACATGAATGGGGTGACTCTCACTTGCATTTTCATTTGATCCATCCCAGTTGTTGTTTTGTTTTAAATTTTGTGAGACAGAGTCCTCACTTTTGTTGGCGGCTACGAGTGAGTGCCGTGGCGTCAGCCTACAGCTCCAGCAACCCTTCCAACTCCTGGGATAAGTAATCCTCCTGCCTCCAGCCTCTCCGACGTAGCCCTGGGGACCACACGGCAATGCCCACATATGCCCTAATTTTTCTACATCATGACCGCTATATACGTACCTAGTACGTAATTTACGTTCGGCGCAATTACATTTCTCACTTTAGTAGTAGCAGACCAGGGTCTCGCTCCCTTGCTCAGGCTGGTGTTTGCAAACTCCTGCACCCTTGAGCAATCCACCTGGCCTTGGCCTACGCCAGAGTGCTAGCGAATTAGCAGGCGTGACGCCCAGCTGCGCCAATAGGCTGAACACACACCAGTATATTAACCTGCGAACAATAAAATAACATATGAGGATTTATCAAAAAACACATAGGAGAGAAGGAATAACAAAAACAAATAGACAAAACCACCAGTATAGATTACAGCTGCATCCTTTCAAGGCTGTGGTCCCACATCCATCCAACGACAACCTTACGTAGGGCGTACACAATGTGCCCCTCCAAAACTCAGGCTTGAAAGTCAACTTGCCATTGCGATGGTTAGGTACGCCGAGGGAGTGGCACACCTTTAAGAGCGTGGATGGTAGGTCATGACGGGCCGCCCTGCCATCACTGCCAATGGATCAGCGCCATCACCTCGAGCGAGACTGGGATCCTGATAAAGGGGGCCGTTTCGCTGCCAGTCTTCTATCACTGCTTCTTGCGCTCCACTGCCAGACACATATTACATATAGACATTATAAAAGAGACAAATAGAAAACCCTAGACACAGAGAGAACATAGGCGCCATTAGAAAAAAGCACATATAGAAGAAGTATACACCAGAGAACCCCGGAAACAGACAAAAAGAGCACGAGATCAAAGACTATCTACTTAAGAGATATATAACACACCATACAGAGTATAATTTTTTTTTTTCTTTGAGACACGAGTCTTTTGCTTTGTTGCCCAGGACTACGCAGTAGGCATGGCTCACACAACCCTCAACATCCTGGGACCACTCAAAAGCAATCTCCTGCCTCCAGGCCTCCCGAGCAGCCTGGGATAGCAGGCATTGCACAACCAATGCCCGGCTAATTTTTTCCTCTATGTACTTAGTTGGCCAATCAATTCTTTTCTATTTATAGTGAGACCGGGGGTCTCCGCTCTTGGTCCAGGCTGGTTTCGAACTCCTGACCTCGAGTGCGACACTCGCCCGCCCTCGGCCTCCAGAGTGCTGGGATTACAGGTGTGCACGCCACCGCACACGGACACCCCACCCACCTCGGTGATTGTAATATCAGCGGTAGAAACAGGCCCCTGAGAACAAGGTCCCCAATACCACTATGCCCCAGCCAATTACTCGAAATTGCAGCAACTCACATCCAAATCAGAAGCTTGGTAACTCATGGATTTGTTAATGCATGGCATTATGGATTTTGACCGAGTCTGTTGTATTTCCAGTTAACCCTGGTCCACAGCTTCTCACACAGTTTCCTTCCCCTTTTGAAGGGACAGCAATACACGACTTTAACGCAAGCATAGGCAACCCCATGGGGGTCCCTGGATAGCTTTGCCATCACACACAATCTCTGCAGATCACGGTCTTAACCGCATTCACCTTTCCCCAGCAGCTTGGTTAGGACACTACACCGATAACACCCTCGTCCAAGGAGACTCCTTTAACGCACTCATTAAGGACATGCAGATCCAACATTTTTTAAAGTTCTTTTGGGGTTCTGAAGGTGATGTATTCCTCATTTACAAGTTTTGCTTAATCCCACTGATGCTGCTACTTTATAAATCAGCCCACCTTAAATGGGGCCCCCTCCAAAGAAAGCCTCCGGAATCTGTCCCAAATTAAAATCAGCAGACATTCCCATTAGTGCCTGCAGAGACTCCTTCACTGGACAAGTCTGAGCAACCTTCTGTCATGCCTCCTAGAGTCTCTGGGCCACCTGTGATGGCCATAAACTGCCCAGAGGCTTCTGATGTATTAATAGAAAACTACACTTCTCAGCCTCACACTGTACACCATTAAAGTAGAAATTGCTGGCCACATCCTGGGATATCCTGGAGGTAGAAGCTCTTACAGCCCCTGAGCCTGTGGCCCTCTGCATCCAGCTATCCATTATGCCTTGGGGGACCCTGAGCATGTGACCCTCATTACTGCCCATTGTGCTTTGGGTCGTGGGAACAGCACCCTACAAACTCAGCATGGCTCCTGAGGCCTCCTTGATACGGGGTGGCGCCAAACCTGGGCCCTCTGGCATATTCCATCTGCAGGAGCAGGGGGCCTCCCTTTGTCCTCAGTCTTTTGCCAGATGTCACCCCTCCCTCAGACCCCTTGGTTACCTGGGGAGTCCCTTGGGATTAACTGAGTGAACAGCAAGGGGAGTTCATGGTCTGTGTAGACGGCATTACTACATCACAAGTGATGGGGCTCAGTGGAATGTAGCTGCTTTCCATCCCTTAACTAGGATGTCCCTGATAAAGGATGGGACCCAAAAGTTGGCACAATCGGCCAAACTTCAGGCAGTCATCTTAGCACTGGTTGCCTTGGTCAGCAAATGGCCCTATTTGCACATTTTTACACA